AAGGGGCTCACTCTGGCACAAGGAGCTCACGACGACGTGGAGGAATGGAGTTGCAAAGCTACCAAAGTGCCCACACCCAGGCTAGGCCCCAGCCAGGACACCTGTGCACATGAGCATCCTGCCCCTTCCACCAGATTGGAAAGAGTGGGAGACTGGAGTTTTTGCTTACAAAGGCAGAGTAAATTTCTGGAATGATGTCATTTCCTTTTGTCCCCAGGCTAAAAGTCACCTAATCATTCTTGAGAGGACACTGCAGATATTTACTGGATCCTCCGATGCCAAGGTGTGGGCCCAGAAGTCTGGTCAAAGTCCCTGCTCTCCTGAAGCTGATATTCCAGAGGACACAAAGGTGCAAAGGTGAATAAACTACAGCATAAAGGAGGCATGGAGGGAGATGACTGTAGAAAGGGGAGCACAGCCTAGACCAGGGTGTCAAACTCATTTTCATCAGGGGCCACATCGGCCTTGCAGTTGCCTTCAAAGGGCTGAAGGTAATTTTAGGACTGTATAAATGTAACTACTCCGTAATAGATAAGTAAGAGCTCGGCACTGCCGCTGGGTAGAAACAAGGTGGAGAGCCAGATTCAGCCCTTGGGCCTTGTGTTTGCAACCTGTGACCTGAAGTGTAGGAGAGGGGAAGGAGACCAGGACAGGACTAACACCTGCATACTGGGCAGGGGCTTGGGGGCAGTGGCAATAATTAGGCTTTGCCTCTGGGAGGGGCTATGGTCTGAAGGTTTGTGCCCGCCCCCCAAATTCATATTTAAATCCTAACCCCCAAGGTGATGATGTTAGGATGCTCTTGGGAAGTAATGAGGTCATGACACTGGAGCCATCGTGATGGGATTAGCGACCTTATAAAAGAGACCTCTGAGACCCCTTTACCTCTCCTAGCATGTGAGGACGTGGGAAGTGGAAGTAGTTTCTCAACGGACCCTGAATCTTGTGGCACTATGATCTCATACTTCCAGCCTCAGAATCATGACAAATAAATGTTCAAAAGCTTCCCAGTCTGTATTATTTTTATAGTATCCTGAGTGTACTCAAAAGGTTTTGAGCAGAGGGGGTGTGACTTGTGTCTAAGGAACACTACTGCCCTGAGAGAAAAGACAGTTTGGGAGCTAGCTGAAGGTCAGTAGGAAGATGACTGCAATTGAACAGGAAGGAGGTGATGGGGCTCAGGCTACAGAGGGGCAGCCAAAATGGCAGGAGGCTGAGGCTGTGTCTATCCTTTGCTGTCAGATTGAGAAATCAGATGAGGATGTAAGAAGTTGAAGAGAGATACTGAGGATTTTGCCCTAAGTTTCCTCCTTTGTCAAAGAAAATAGCATAATACCCACCTCATGGGGTGATGTGAGGACTCAGTGAGATCATGTAGATCAAGTAACTATCCATGTTGGAGGCCCAAGCAGGGGTGACCCTGCTTCTTTTTTTAAAAATTATGTTTTACTGTTTATGCTATTATGGTTGTCTAAATTTCCCCTCCACCTAGCACCTCCACTCCCTCAGGCAATTCCTACATCTTTGTTCATGTTCATGAGTCCTGCATGTATGTTTTTCAGCTACTCTGTTCCCTATGCTGTACTTTACATCCCCATGACTATCCTGTGGCTATCAATTTGTACTTCTCAATCCCTTCACCTTTTTCATCCATCTCCCTGAACCCCCTTTCATCTGACAAACATCAAAATATTCTCTATATCTATGATTCTGTTTCTGTTTTGCTCGTTTTGTTCTTTAGATTCAATTGTTGATAGATATGCATTCATTGTCATTTTATAGTTCATATTTTTTATATTCTTCAAGAAGATCTGACCCTTTGGCTTCTGGCCAAGATGGAGGTGTAGGTGGAAACACTGTTCCTCCTCCCACAATCAAGTTTAAAGACAACAAAGATTTAGTAACAAAAATGCAACCAAAACACACAGAAAATTGAACTGTATGGAAGTCCAACAAGAACAAACCATTCAGCCAAACTGGTAAGAGGGGCAAAGTCAGTGGCTGGCAGAGACAGATTGGGCAGGAAAAAGTGGCCAGACCGACCCAGGCACGCAGGTGGCAGTTGGCAGATCCCAGGCATGGGGTGGCAATGGGCAGACCCAGTGAGGGTGCAAGGCAGCTGCTGATAGTGGTGACACATTCACACACAGATAAACCAAGAGCGAGCGGTAAGACAGATCACCCAAACCAGGGCCCCAGTGATGAGAATTAAAGCCTAAAAGCACCAATTGGAAAAACTTTTGGGGGCTGAGGTGACGGGAGAGGCTCCCGGGTTCACAGAGAGTTCATTGGAGAGACCCGCAGGGACCTGGAGGGTGCACAAGCCCACACACCTGGGAACCAGCACCAGAAGGGCCCAATTTGCTTGTGGAAAGCAGCAGAGGGGACCAAAATCTGAGAGAAAGAGTGTGGAACCAGTGCCATTGACCCTCTCTGACGCGCCACCCCCCACATATAGCATCACAACCCAGCAACTGGGTTGCCCCACCCTGGTGAACACCTAAGGCTCAGCCCCTAATACATAATAGGCACAATCTGACCAAAAAATTGTGGCTCAAGAAGAACAGCTCAAAGCCCCAGAGCCAATACTTTTAAGTGAACTGTGCATCTGACCTATCAGATAGGCAGTTCAAAATACTGGTGATCAGGATGCTCACAGAACTGGTTGATTGTCGTCACAAATTAGAGGAACAAATGAAGGCTACACTAAGTGAAATGAAGGGAAATTCACAGGAAAGCAATAGTGATGGAAAGGAAACAGGGACTCAAATCAAGGGAGTGGACCAGAAGGAAGAAAAAAATGACCAAACAGAAAAGAATGAAGAAACAAGAATTCAAAAAAATGAGGAGAGGTTTAGGTACCTCCAGGACATCTTTAAATGTTCCAACAACCAAATCATAATGGTACCAGAAGGGGAACAGGAAGAGCAACAAGTGGAAAATTCATTTGAACAAATAATAAAAGAGAACTTCCCCAACCTGGCAAAGGAAATAGACTTCCAGGAAATCCAGGAAGCTCAGAGAACCCAAAGAAGTTGGACCCAAGGAAGCACACACCAAGGCACATCATAATTACATTACACAAGATTAAAGATAAGGAGAGAATCTTAAAAGCAGCCAGAGAAAAGGAGACAGCTACCTACAAATGAGTGCCCATAAGACTGTCAGCTGATTTCTCAAAAGAAACCTTACGGGCAAGAAGGGGCTGGAAAGAAGTATTCCAAGTCATGAAAGGCAAAGACCTATATCCAAGATTGCTCTATCCAGCAAAACTTTCATTTAGAATGGAAGGACAGATAAAGTGCTTCTCAGATAAGGTCAAGTTGAAGGAATTCATCATCAACAAGCCCTTACTATATGAAATGTTAAAAGGACTTATCTAAGAAAAAGAAGATAAAAACTATGAACAATGAAAGGACAGCAAACTCAGTTATTAACAACCACACCTAAAACAAAAGCAAACTAAGCAGATGGCTAGATCAGGAGTGGAGCCACAGAAATGGAGATCGCATGGAGGGTTAGCAACAGGGAAGTGGGAGGAGGAGAGTGGGGAAGAAGGTACAGAAAATAAGTAGCATAGATGCTGGGAAGAAATAGGGGAGGGAAAGAGTAGTGTGAGAAATGTAGAACCTGAAGAACTTATGACACATGGACATGAACTAAAGGGGGGGAATGTGGGTGGGAGGGGATGTGCAGGGAGGGGAATGAAGGGGGGGGAATGGGACAACTGTAATGGCATAATCAATTAAATATATTTTTTAAATTTCACAAGTAAAATTATAACATTCTTTTCTTACAAATGAAACATTAAACCATTAAAAGGAATTAGGGTTCCTTGGAGAAATGGTTGATTCCAGATCTGTGACAAAGTACATGGCAAATCTGGAACAATTTGTGCTAGAAAGTAAGAAAGTGCTAAAAAAATTACGACTCACTGAAAGAAAAAAGAAGCCAGTTTGGAGCAGCCCCCACTGGCTAAATCTGCCATTTGAGCATCTAAGTAATTAAGAGTAACAATAAAACTCATTGAGTAAAGTAAGAATCCACTAGTCCATACCGCTAACGAATGAAATTAAATCCCTTCTCTAGAATACAAAGCTAGTAAATAGAGAAAGAATGATGGAAATAGAAAAGAAATAGAATGGTAGTAATTCGTTTGACAAGAAATATCAATGAATAGTAGTGGGTTAAAAGCTTGAGGAGTGAAGGGATATTGGCATAGAATCAAAGTATCTTCTCACAAGTAATAATTACAAAGGAAAACCCAGCATCAATCTGAGTGATGCAACTGAGTGCTGACAATTCAGCACCATATGCCAAAGTGCATCGCCTAATCTGATGTATACCTCTGTCCTGCGCGCCTCGAGATCAAGGTCATAAAGACAAAGAGGATCGAATAGTCAGTCTATCCCGGTTGGACGGGGAGTAAAGAGACACGACAGCAACGAGAAGCGTGATACACGGCTAGGGCCGTGCTGAGAGCGGCATCAGTGTTGGCTGTCCGGAATGGGATCACCGGACTGAACACGGAAATGTCTAATTATTAGGAAACAGGCCGGTAGCATTTCATAATTAGTTAGGGGTGAAGGCGCCCTCAATCAGCGTGCTTCATTTCCCTCAGAAGGCGGGTCTGGTTATCGGGCTTTACTAGAAACCTTAAACCGCGTGCTTGACCATTTCTCCCACTACACAACTGCTGGGCTAGGACCTCCTAGCCCGTACGTCCAAACTGGTTGCCATTCCCTAGACCCCTGAGGGGCTCGAGAGGTGGGGCCGATCCGACGCCAAGACTCAGCCCGGCAGCCCAGGACCACCCAGAGAACCACCGCCAGCCTCCAGCCTCGCGGGACTGGGGCTCCGGCACCGGAAAATAGCTTGCTTCCGGCTCTGTGACTGGGGGCCTTGCGGTCCAATGACGGCCAGGGACGGGCAGGCGCGGGGCATGGCGGGCCTTTTAGTCGGCGCGCCCTGGGGACTTAGGTACCCAAAATGTCTCCGGGGGAAGCAGCCCGGGCTTTGGAATTGGAGTGGGTGGAGGTCAATCGGCGTAAAGCCCAGGCCAATCGCGGGCTGGGGCAAGTGTGCTCCGGTTACAAAGGACCTTGCAGTCGTGCGGGTGGGACTACAGCACCCACATTGCCCCGCGCGGCGGGAAGCCTTCTGCGGCTGCGCGGCGGCCTAGGAGCCATGGGGCTGGGCGGTGGTCGGGTGGACGAAAACCGGGTTTGATACTGGTGGAAGTAACATGAGTCTGGCCATCGCTACCATGTCGACGCCGGCTGAGGAGGAGGAATACGCGCGGCTGGTGATGGAGGCGCAGCCCGAGTGGCTTCGCGCCGAGGTGAAGCGGTTGTCACACGAACTAGCGGAGACCACGCGCGAGAAGATCCAGGCGGCCGAATATGGGCTGGCGGTACTCGAGGAGAAACATCAGCTCAAGCTGCAGTTCGAGGAACTGGAGGTGGACTACGAGGCCATCCGCGGTGAAATGGAGCAGCTAAAGGAGGTGAGCGCGGACAGCCGCCGCCACACCCTCCGGCGTCTCCGCAGGGGCCCGGACCTCTTACATCTGAGCCTACCCCTTACCCCGGCCGGGCTGAGCTGACACTCGAGCGCATCCGTCACCCTCAGCTGTGCAGACTATGGAGTCGGCAGCCTCAGGGCTCCTGGGGTTGGTTTGCACGGCCGGCTGTCCTGCTTTGGACAGGGCTACAGTGAGGCCGCGTCGCCAGCTTGCCTGCTTCTGGTGGCAGGCCTCGGGAACAGTGGGGTGGTTTTCTCTGCAGTGTTTGGCTTCCCAGGTTGCGGGGTGGGGGAAGTGTGGGCATGGGATGGATGCAGAGAAAAGCCAGACCTGGTCCTGCGTCACCTACCTCCAGGCAGATCACTTCGTCAATTTCGGTGCAGTTGCCTTCAGCGGTTTCCGTGTTTCCCATGGGTGTTGTAAGGCCAGGAAAGGGCTGGAACTGGGGCTCACCTAGAATGTGGCTCTCATCACCGGCTGGGATCCCCCAGTATTTCTCCCAGAGACAGCTTTTTGACCATACCATGTAATGACTTCTCTGGGCTACTGTGCTTCTTCCACCCACTTCCAGTCTTGGATGCTCTCCCAGGCACTTCCCTGCAGACTGGTTACAGATCTGTGGGTACTTGTCCCAGAGAGAGCCTGTGTCTCCCGTGTGGTTTTCACCCTGGGATGAGGAGGTCAGGTCCCAGGGCAGCCCTGTGAAGTAGTTCTCAGTGATTTGAACAGCTCTTCTCCCAGCTCTGTCGTGGGGAGTGAGGAGAGAATTGTTGCTTTTTGGGTGGAACACCCAGGTTTGGACCCAGGCCCTATCCCTTGCTCATATGTAGCTGTGGGCAGGGGCCTTAGCTTCTTCTGGAACATTGCCCACCCAGAAGGTTTGTTATATTTGAAAAGGGTCTTATATTTGAAAAGGTGGGCATGGTGTCGGGTGTGGCCTCTCAGTTTCTGACAGTGTCCCTTCCCCACCTAACTATTCCCTTGTCTGGGTGGACTCTTGGCCCTGGGTCTTGGGATCTACCATACTAGTTGCTTTCCCTATCATACCCACTTCCTGGCACCATAGCTTCTAGTGGCCTTGGACAGGTTCAGAGCCTCCCTGCCTCACTGGGAGACCAGTGAGTCCTCTTTTGAAGGTGGAGGTAGGGAGAATGAATGAATCTATGACTGGTGCTTAAGTCTATGCCTGGCAGAGGAGGTGCTCAGTATTAGCATCAGTAAATAACTGAAATGGTGATGGTGGTGGAAGGCAGGTAGCAGCAGCACATTGACCAGAGGTTCTGACATCTCTCAGCAGGTGCTGTAGCCTCCTTTGAGCCAGGCTTGGCTGGCACTGGTTCTACAAAAGGGGTAACATGTGGCTTCTCTTACAAGAACCCCATTTTGGTGTGGCAGGATGTACCCATGATCTTACTGGGTGGGGCTTACCCCCTCTCCCACTTAAATCCCCTTTTGTGTTCATAGGCTTGGATTTGTGTTCCTATAAGAAGGGACTAGATCAACCAGCACAGAGGGAACTAGTCTTCATTCAAGCACCACTCAATTGTTAGCTCTTTACTGTTATGGACACAAACATTTTGGCCACTGCAAGAATCTTGGCTTCGTTAGGGGGTTTATCTGGAGGGTGGGTCCCAGGGGAATGAATCTGCGGGAAGGCTTGTCAGTCTGCAGTTATTCTTCAGGTGCTTGCTTAGTTTGTTGTCACATTCTGGCTCCTGCATGCACTGGCCACATGGCCTTGTACATGTTGTTTCACTGCCCTGAACTTGAGTATCCCTCATTGTAGATGGGAAGTACTGACAGAAGCTAGAGGAAAGTGCATCAGTCTCAGTAGATGTTACCAGAAAGGTTGCACCAGTTTACTCACACCCGTGGCAGTACAGGCTCTTGTCAACCTGTGTATTTTTGGCCAATTTCATATGTAGAAATACTCTTACTTAAAAAATCAAGATTTAACTAGACAATACAGGGTGGGGTAAAAGTAAGTTTACAATTGTGAGTACATGAAACAGTTTATTTTTATATTTATTAGTTGTATTATTTTCCATATGAACAACTATAAACCTGTTTTTGCCCCACCCTGTATTTGTTGGGTCTTTTTTTTTCTCCTGTAGGGAAGTGAACCATCTTCATTCTTTTAAATCTTTATTTCTTAAACTAAAGTGGGTTACTAGCAAATCATACTGCAAACCGAGTTGGCTGTGCTCCTGCCCAGCATTTGTAGATCATACTGCCTTTGAGGGTGGGAAGCTGGCTGGCCAGGCACAGGCCCTGTGTCCTCAGCTGCAGCTTTAAGAGTACAGGTATGCTGGCCTGGCAGCTCCATAAGTTGGTGGTTCTCATGGGTAGGGAAGTGAGGATTAGAGGGTATTCCTCAGGCCAGGGGTGGGTTCCTGATGCATTCTCAGCCCATCCTCTGTTGGCTCCCAGAGAGTAGGAATACAGGTCTGGACATCCTCTCTGCCTCTGTGTCACCTCAGGATCTTGAATGTGTGGTGTACGTACATTTTGGGGAAGGAATGGGTGTAATTTGGTGAGCTTTGGTGTGTTACCAGCTGCACATGGTTCCCAGCACACAGGAAGTGCTAAGTTAGTAAGTCTGCTGGCTGGTGTCCTCAGCTCCTTCTCTCCACTTGTCAGGTCTGGATCCCCTCCCTCTTATCCCCACAGCCACCTAGGCTCTGTTCCTTGGCCTGGTGTGGTCTTGAGTGGCCTCACTGCATCTCCCAGAGGGCAGGCCAAGCCTGCTGCCTGGGCCCCCCAGCCTGGCTTGCCTGCACTGCCTTTACCATCTGATGCTTCTAAACCTCAGCCACTGCCACTGGACTTGGCTGAGCCCAGCTCCCAACACTCAGGTGTCCCACCTGTCCTGCAGGCTCAGTGGCTACATGAAAGGCTGGGGCAGAGCTGGTAGAAGCAGTTACTCTGTCCCCTTTGCTCCCTCTCTCCCATTTGTTTTGTAATTTCTTCTCTCAGAGGATGGAGAGACTGAGGTAGAGATGGGTGGAGGCAACTAAAGAAGGCTTAGCAGCTCAGACAACATAGGAAGGGGTCCTTGGCACCAGGTTCCCCAGTCCATATGTTTTCCTAGAAGTCATGGCTAGGAGAGGTGGTGCTCCTGCCATAGCGTCCCTGTGCCGCACTGACTCCTGCATTTCCCACACCAGCCCTTAGGGCACCACCTTTTTTGTGTCCGTTGTACAGAAGGAGAAACTGAGGTGGAAGCAGAGAAGTTGTGTTTTTCTCAAGACTGCAAGCCTGGGCAGCCAGCCCCCAAAGGGCAGGTACCTGAGTAAAGGGCGATTGGAGGCCTTGGTGTGTGAGGCCCATCCTTGAGTGTTTGCTTCAGGTCAGGAAGAGTCCTGATTTTTGCTAAAGCCTGTAGGGATTCTCCTGCTCCTCTTGATACTACCCTCGAACTTGGAGCATAGAGTGGTTGGCGGCTAGGAGTCTTATGGCCCTTTGGAGTGGGAGCTGGGGTGTGCGTCGTTCTAGTGTTGGCATGAAGAGGTCAGACTTGGGGTAGAAGCTGTGGTCTGGGGATTCCTGGAGGTGCTGAGGTGGCTCTGCTGTCTCCTGGTTGACTGCCAGGAGAGGCAGCTACAGGCATCCAAAGGCCGACTCCAGGGCCCACTGTGGCTGTACTGCTGGGCACTCCCCACTGTCCCACAGGTAGAATGTGTGTCAGGTGGGGGGGTTGTGGATTGATCTTAAGGGGCTTTTTTACTTTTAAAGGTGTTGGAAACTGCTACGTCACCTGGGCCATTTACTTCTGCGGGACCGGGAGGTGAACAGCAGTGCACCTCAACATCTCCAGGGCATGTCTCTGGACTCAAGACTGGCATGCTGTGACAAAGCTGTTTTTGTAGGAAAGTAGGACAGGAGGAAGGCCAAACCCGGGACCAGGAACCTGTATCCCAAAAGTGCCCTACCCGGGCAGGCAAGAAGGAGCAGCATGTGGTGTCCAGGGCTGTGGTTTTCACACTGGCTTCAGGAAGGGCCTGGACCCTGCCTGGGATCCGGGACCCCTGCCCCCTTAGGCCCACTTTTCCACATCAGTACACTGAGTGAAGGGCCACTACATACACTGGGGTGTGAAGAAAGATTTGGTTTCTTAGACAGTGAGGTGAAGAGGATTAGTGGGTTCCAGGTGGCCAGGAACCTGCAGACTCTGACAAGTGTGGCCCTCTGGGGCCTCAGGCCCTGGGCCCTGGGCTCTGGGGCTCTGTGTTGTCAGGCATTTGGAGTGTGGCTTCTTGAGTCATTCCTCAGAGCAGAGGGCCCTATGTTGCTGCCCAGCTGCTGTCCTGGCCATTAAACCTAGCCATTCAGCTGGCCTCTACCATGGGAGGTAGACTGAGAGATGGGACTGCAAGGGTAGGGTGGGGTCTCAGAGTGGAGCAGCTAGTTCATGCTCAGGCAGGTGATGGCATTGAGGAGGATTAGGCTGCAGCTTCTGTTTTTAGAGTTTAATATATTTAAAAATTGTTTATTCACATTAAGAACAGAAGAAAGTAAAAATGAGCAGTGTCTCTGCAGGAATTACGAAGATGATGACCAGTGGAAAACAACTAGCTATTTCTACTTGTGGCATTTTCCTTCCTTTGTTTGTGTGTGAGATACAGTACCATAAAAAAATAAAAAATGCTTAGAGTATCTGTAACAGTTGCTTTTAAAAAGACACAGAGTTTGGTGTTAGCCTTTGAGTTGCTGAAAAGCAGGTTTCATTCAATAGTGGATAAAGACATGGAAGTTTCCATAGATTCAGAAGGTGTTGTGCATTTTCAGTCTGTTGTATTATGTGAAATAATTGTTGTGGTTTGCACTTCAAAGATTTGCTTTTTCAAAGGCAGTTTTTCTGCACTGTTTCCCTCATAAACAACTTCCACCTTCTTTAGGGGAAGTTTTAAGTATAACTAGAGCAGAGAGAATGGTTGGCCTCTGCGTTCTCCTGCCTGCTCTGGCAGTTAGTTCCCAGCTCT